ATTCCTCCATCCCTCCATTCCTCCATTCCTCCATTCCTCCATTCCTCCATTCCTCCATTCCTCCTCCTCCTCCTCCTCCTCCTCCTGCTCCTTCTCCGCCTGCTCCTCCTTCTCCCCTCCTTCTCGCCTCTCAGTCCTGTTTCACGGAGAGGGCAGTGGATCACGGACCATGAGAGAAGCAGTCCAGGGTCTGGAGGCTGGTGGAACTTCAATCGCGGATTGACCATGGATGCCACCACCGCCGCCCTCATCAGATAAGGGGTCCTCCAGGTTCTGAAGACTCCTGGGCACATTCCTCAATCAACGCCCCCACCGCACAAAGGTCTTCGAAAAATGGTGTCGGAGAAGATAGGGTCGGCGGATCGCACCAGAGCAGATGGTGTCGGAGCAGATGGGGTCAGCGATGCATCGGCGACGCCAGCGATGCATGGGTCTGAAGCCTCGTGGGCACATTCCTTGACGAACGCCCCCGCAATAGTGTGCCTCCTGCGCCCACCTCGTTCCCAGACATCCCGCGGACGGGTTGCCACTTTTCGGGCCGACGAGGACCCCAGGCTGGGTCAAGAGGGCCCCAAGCGGCCTCCAAGACGGTTCCAAGACGCCCAAAGATCGGCCCAAGACGCCCAAGATGTCCTCAACATGGCCTCAGAGGCCCCCAAGACGCCCCAAGAGGTCTCCAAGAGGGCCCTCAGGAGGACCCCAAGAAGCCAAAATCATGTGTGTTCCGCCGGTGTTTGAAAGATCTTAGCGTTCCCGACGCTTTCAGACGGCCCTAGAGGCCCCCAAGACCACACCAAAACGGCCCAAGAGGTCTCCAAGAGGGCCGAAGACGGCCTAAGAGCGCCCCACGACGGTTGAAGAGGCGCTCAAGACGGCCCAAGAGGGCCCCAAGACGGCCCCAGAAGGGGCCCAAAGGAGGGAACACGAACAGAAAATCCGAGCCTTCCACCCCACGAGGCCCCCAAGAGGCCCAAAAGAGGCCCCAATGAGCCCCCAAACGGCCACCAAGAGGCTTCCAAACTGCCTCCACGAGGCCCCCGAGAAGCCTCCCACGAGATTCCAGCGAAAATCCAAGAGGTTCCATACCTACAACCCAGGCACTGTGGCGGGATGGGCCGAAGGCCATTCGATCCGCCGCCCCCTGTGCTTGTCCCAGGGGCGCCTGGCGTGCTAGGCCCTTTCGGCATTGGTTTTGTTTTTTTTCCAGAAGAACTCTCCCCTGGGGCTTCGGCCCGCCTCGCCGAAGGGATCGCAAGACCCGGTTGCAAAGGATTTTCCTGCTCCAGACGGCTCCAGACGGCGGGCCTCCAAGATGCCTCCAAGATGGCCTCCAAGACGGCCCACGAGGGTCCAATATACTTCCAAGTCCGCCCAAGAAGCCTCCAAGACGGCCCAAGACTGCCCCAGAGGTGCCCAAGAGGCCTCCAACACAGCCCAGGAGGCCTCCGAGAGGTCCTCCAGGAGGGCCCGAAGAGGCACAAATCATTGATTCGTCTGGTTTTTGAAAGATGTTCGTATTTGTTCCTTTTCGCCCGAGACGGCCCAAGAGGCCCCCAATGTCGCCCCCAGGGCGCCCAAGAGGCCTCCAGGATGGCCGCAGGACTGCCCAAGAGGCCCCTAAGACGGCCTCAAGAGGGTCGCGAAAACGTCCAAGAGGCCTCTAAGACGCCCAAGGGAGCCTCCAAGACGGCCCTGGGGCACCCCAAAAGGACTCCAAGTCGGCCCAGAGAGGCCCCCAAGACGGCTTTCGACTGCGTCAGACGGGCCAGGAGTCCAACAAGACGGCCCAAGATGGCTCTAAGATGACCCAAGACGGCCCAAGAGGCCTCCAAAAGGGCCTCCAGGAAGGCACGAAGAGGCCAAAACCATTGATGTCCGTCAGATGTTTGAAGGATTTTGGAATTTGCTTCTTTTCGGCCTTCCGACGGCCCGAGACAGCCCAAGAGCCCCCACAGATCGCCCAAGAGGCCTCCAGGATGGCCCCAGAACAACCCAAGAAGCCCCCAAGACGGCCCAAGACTGCCCAAGAGGCACCCCAAAAAAGCTTCCAAGACGGTTCTGGAGCATTTCAAGAAAACCCCAAGTCGGCCCAGAGAGGCCCCCCAAACGGGTTCCGACAACATCAGACGGGACAGGAGCCCACCAAGACGGCCGAAGATGGCCCTAAGATGACCCAAGAGGCCTCCAAGAAGACCTCCAGGAAGGCCCGAAGAGGCCAAAACCATTAATTCCCATTAGGTATTTGAATGATTTTGGCATTTGCTTCTTTTCGGCCTGCTGACGGCCCGAGACGGCCCAAGACCCTCTACAGATCGCCCCAAGATCGTCCAAGAGGACTCCAGGATGGCCCCGGAACGGCCCAAGAGGCCCCCAAGACGGGCCCAAAAAGGTCCCAAGAAGGCCCAAGAGGCCTCCAAGACGCCCAAGATTGCCTCCAAGACGGCCTTGGAGCACCCCAGGAGGGCCCCAAGTCGGCCCATAGAGGCCCCCAAGACGGCTTCCGACGACGTCAGGCGGGCCAGGAACCCACCAAGACGGCCAAAGAGGCCCCCGAGAAGCCCCCGAAGGCTTCCAAGAGGCCTCCGAGAGGGCCCCCAAGATGCCTCCAAGAGGCTCCCAGACAGCTCCCAGACGGCCCCAAGAGAGTCCCCAGAGGCTCCCAAGATGCCCCCTCCTCCTCTTCCTCTTCCTCCTCCTCCTCCTCCTCCTCCTCCTCCTCCTCGTCAACCTCCTCCTCCTCCGCCTCCTCCTGATCTTCCCCGCCATCCTCCCCCAAGTGTTCCCAGAAGGGTTTCCACAACGGCTGGGGGAACACATGGTCAGTGCTGCCACTTCAGAAGAGCCGAGCTTCTCACCCCGAGACGTTGACTGCTGACGGCCCCAGCGGCTTGGCGAGGGCCCCCGGAGTCGAGTAGGGGACTAACTACATACGTAATTGATGTACCCCAAAGACGTTTTGTCGAACCCTGAGAAATTACGTAGAATAGTCAATGTATCTACGGAGCACTGGGGGTATGGTTCGTAGATTCGACGGGCCAGAAATGTTAGGGTAAACATGTTCTGTATTCGATCCTCTACCCGACAGAGGACGAACTAGCTTAAGCACGCCGCATTTGTTGAAGTAGACACGTGGCCAAGGCAGCTATAAAACCATCACCGCCCGAAGGAACTTTTTGGCCCCCGTTGACACCAACCTGCCCCCCCCCTGTGGGGATGGGTGCCGTCTCCTCCAGATTCAGCAGCACCCATTTCCCCCCCAGAGGGAGTACGGTCGGACCTACAGTCGATAATCCGCCGACCCTGTCGGCGTGTGTGGGGTGTCTATCCGGTCCCGTCGACGGGGAGCCTTCTTTCGTCCCCTCCCGTCGGGGGAGAGAGAGCGAGAGAGAGAGAGAGAGAGAGCACCCTTCCTCGTTCGGGGAACGGGTTCGCAGCTTGAGGGAATTCCATCCACGTCCTCATTACGTCACAGGGAAGCCCCTTCACTTTGTCCCTTCTCCGGCGGGGGGGGTCCCAGAGGGGGGCGGGGAGTCAAATTCGCATCGCCTCTGGGGGTCCTCCTCTCCCACGCCGGTCCTTTTCCGGCGCGCAGGTCCTCCTCGGGTCCTCCTCCCCAGGTGGGGAGGAGTCCCAGGGGGGGGGGAGTCAGATACGTATCCGTCCCTGAGGGTCCTCCTTCCCCCTCCCCTCCCCTCTCCCACGCCAGTCCTCCTCTGGTCCTCCTCCCCAGAGGGGGGTCCCAGGGGGGAGTCCTTTTCCTCCCCTTTCTCCTCCTCTTTCTCCTCCTCCTCCTCCTCCTCCTCCTCCTCCTCCTCCTCCTCCTCCTCCTCCTCCTCATCTCCACCTCCTCCTCCTCCTCATCATCATCCTCCTTCTCCTCCTCCTCCCCCTCCTGGTCGTCATCGATGTCTTTCAGGGTCGGCGGCACTAGCCGTCAGGCCTTCACAAGATGGTCAAGATAATCATCGTTTAGGAAAATCAGCACTTAAGACATTATCACCATTCAAGAAAATATGGGCCAGCTTCCCTGACGCTTCGTAAAACAAGCCTGGGCCAACTTCCGTTGTTGACGCTGGAGGGGGCGAACATGCTCAAGAAGCTCGGCCAGCTTCCCAGCAAGTCGATTAAGAAACGCTGGTCCAGTTTGTCGGGGGGGGGTCTTAATCAGATGCTCGACTGTAGCAGCACCCATCCCTTCCCAGAGGGAGCACGGCCCGGGCTAGGGCAGAAGAGCAGCCTTCAAGGCCCTCCGCGGGCCAGAACACCCCAAGCCATGAGAAGTGAGGGAGGAGGAAGGAGGGAGGAGGGAGGAGAGGGGGGGGAGGAGGGAGGGGGGGGGAGGAGGGAGGAGGGAGGAGGGAGGAGGGAGGAGGGAGGAGGGAGGAGGGAGGGGGTGCCCCCTCCCCCAGGATGCACAAAAGCATCAAACAGAGAACAAAGAACAGGAGGGTGCCCTCCCCGAACCGACCTCGACCTCATACCTCGGCCCGACCGCGCGCTGGGATAGAGCGGATTCGCCCTGTCTCGGCCGGGGTTGGGATGGCCCTGACCACGGCCTGCAGACCTCCTCCGAGCTGGTGTCCTCCACCGACGGCCCTGGGACCCACGACCCCCTCGCCGGGGGCAGCTCTGCGTCCCGGGTCCGATATCCTCCATGGCCCCGGGACCCGAGAGCGGCCCCCGGAAGCCGAGGTGAAGGCTTAGGTCGGGCGTGTCCCCCCTACACAGGCGGAGCCGGGACGAAAGATCAAAAATACGCAAAACAAACAAGTCGCACTGAAGTCGAAGGCAAGCCCCTTCCCTTTGATCCCTCCCCCGCCGAGGGGCGGGGGGGGGTCCCAGGGGGGTCCCGGGGGGTCCCGGGGGAGTCCCTGGGCGCGTGGGTCACTTTACAACCAGAAGCGCACTTCGCAACCAGATGGGTCACTTTACAACCAGCTTACAAAATCCGAGAAGGGCACTTTACAACCAGGAAGGGCACTTTACAACCAGGCAAGTAAAAAACACATATTGAATGCACGCGGGCCTTTCCCTGAAATCTCCGCGGGCAAGCGCAAAGGTGGCTTTGGGCTCTTTGATGCATGTTGGTTGTGAAGTTGCCCATCGCGCACGAAGAAGCACTGCGCACGCGTTGGCGATGCGGCGACCTGGTGCGCTATGGTAGGTTGCGTGCTGGTGGGCGGATTAGGGTTTTGACCTGCTCTCTAAGCTCTGTCGGTCAGTTTTGCCATTGCTTGCTCTGCCTTTTTTTCTGACGGACGAAGGCTAGTCGCGCAGGACATACGAATAAACCATAATCCCGTCCAAGACTGGAGCTGCATGGCAGCGGGAAGCTGTAGTGGGAGATGTGGTGGTAGCGGGGGCTACAATGGGAACTGCATGGTGTTGGGAAGCTGCGGTGGCAACTGTGGTGGTCGCCAGGCAGCGGTGGGAACTGTGGTGGTAGCTCGGCTGCAATGGGATTTGCGGTGGTAGCGGGGGGTCAGTCGGAATTGTGGAGGTAGCGGGGCTGCAGCGGTAAGTGTGGTGGTAGCAAGCACAAAGGTGGCGGTGATGCGCTGTCACGGTGGCTCAAGCTGCTGCGCTGGCACGGTGGCTGAGGCTGCTGCCCGAGCAGGATACCTGCGTTGCTGCGCTGGCACTGTGGCTGACGCTGGAAGGAACGATCTTCGAAATAGTTGCATTTATTCGGAACGTTGAACCTCGATCTTCCAAGAAGAGGAGCAGCCGGGGGCCACCTGGAGCTGGAGCACTTAGCCCCTTGCAGAACACCGTGGGGCTTCAAGGGCCAACGTGGCCCAAGAGACCCGCGGTGCCAATGGCCTAGTTCCCTGGGGCGCTGGGCCCTTGTGGAGGCCACTGGGCTCGCTTCCTGTGAGGGATCCCTAAAATGGGCAGCGCGTCGCCCTGAGCCTTCCTACGTATGCTGTCGCCTTATTCCCGTGCGAGCACGGGGCCCTTGTTGAGGCCGCTTGGCCCCTGCTAGCAAGCCCTGTCTTAGTCTGCTGGGCTCAGAGCGCCAGAGCGTCCAGGCGCTCGGGCTCAGAGGCATCGCTGGGGCCTGCTCAGAGCGTCCAGGCGCTCGGGCTCAGAGGCATCGCTGGGGCCTGCGCAGAGCGTCCAGGTCCTCGGGCTCAGAGGCATCGC